CCTCTCTCCTGGCCGCTGGGGGGATGCGGGCTCAGTGGGGGGGACGTGGGCTCAGGGGCGTCTGGCTTGTCCGGAAGCAGGAAGCGGATCTCCCTGAGCTGTGAGCGCCTGCGGGCCCTCCTGCCCCGGTTCGACGGCCGGCGTGAGGACATGGCCTCCGTCCTGGAGATGTCTGTGCAGTTCCTAAAATCCCCCGTCACCACACCTCCTGTGGGAGCGGCCCTGCGGCCCCACCCGTGGTGCCAGCATTGCCCTGAGGCCCCTGGTGGCACGGCCCCCACCATCCCGGCCCCTCCCGGCCCCTCCCACCCCAGCTGAGGACCAGGGTCTGTGCTCAGGGTGGACCCGGGGCCAGGCAGCCCACTCTCCCTGCGGGTTTCCCGTGCCCACGTCCGTGGTGATTTTCGCGTTTATTTCCGTGCCAGGCTCTCGGCCCCTCCCAGGAGGATTGGCACAAGTGGCAGCTGGCCCTGGAGAGCCAGACCCCCGCAGATGCATCCGACCCCGGGACCGGAGCACCAGGCACCATGTGAGGGCCCCTCCCCTGCCCGGCTGGGGCCCCCGGGCAGTGGGTGCAGGCTGTTCAGAGACCCCTGTCTTGGCACCGTCCAGGCCGCAGGAGCCCCCGAGCGATGTGACCATCGGTGTGGACCAGGGCAAGGCCCCCACGGGGCTGGCCGAGGCGCTGGACAGGCCAGCAGTCCTCCCTGGTGAGTGTGACGCACAGCACGGTTCCAGGTCCCCCAGAAAGTGTGCGGACATGGACTTGCTGCCCCCGCTCACCCCTCCTCACCCCCGTGCCCGGCTCCCCGAGAGCAGCCCGCACTCTGCCAGCTCCTTGGCATCTCTGTTCTGTCGGAGTGAGTCATGGACCCCAGGCTGTTCCCTCCCCCGCATGGAGCCTTTGTTTCCTGCCTGCCCCCCCAAAGCCCACGGGGTGCCCCGGAGGCCTGCGTCCCCCTCATGTTGGACCCTGCCCAGCTGTCTGTCACTCTTTGCGCCGTGGCCGCTGGTGACAGCATTTAAGCTGCCTACATGCGTTCGCCGTGTGTCATTGTGCCCAAGTGCCACGGAGGCGAGACCGCGCCTTCCCACTCCCTGAGTGCCCACCGAGGTGGGGGAGCCGCAGGACCCGCACAGAGGACACAGGGTGTAGAGGCCGCATCAGGGAGCCGCTGTGAGGGTGGTGCCCAGGACAGGGGTTGCGGGCACATGGAGGGGAGGCGGCAGCAGCACGGGCATCTCCAGGTTCGAGCTGGCCTGAGGCCAGGTGGGCACCGCCTCCAGGAAGCCTTCCTGGGCGCAGGCGTCAGCTGCCTCCCTCTGGGCGTTCACCTGGTCACCTGGTGACCTGCCTGCCTCTGCGCTGAGCCCCCGTCCTGGGCAGCGCTCAGTGGGCGGGGCTGAGGTCTTCAGGGGAGGGCCGCTCCCCGGGGGGAAGGCTGACCCACCCCTCGCTTCTCTCACAGGGACCTCCGGTCTGGCACCCTGGACCCCAGGCCCGAGTGCCTCCCAGGTCCTGAGGCCGCCCCCAGCCTGGCCTCCCTGCTCCTGGCAGCCGACCGCCCCGCTGGCGAGCGAAGAGGCTCAGAGCTGCCCGGGCCTGGCTGGGCCCCTGACAGAGGAGACTGCCCAGGCTGCGATGCCCGGCACCGGGTGGGTCCCCTACGGGTGTGTGCGCCTGCCCATGTGCCTGTGTGTGCCCGCATACGTGTTCCTGCCTGTGTGTGCGCCCTCCGGGCCTGCCATGGGAAGGTGCTCCCCTTGCTCCCTCACTGTGTGGCTGCCTAGCCCAGGTCGGCCAGGCCGGGCCCTGTGGCTTCTGATGCGTGTTTTTGAAAACACTCTCCTCTGACTAATGGGCTTGTCTGGGCTGATGGGCCGGCGCTGGGCGTGGGCGGGGAGCGGGAGGCTCTCCTGAGCCGGTGGGCTCCTGCGCTGGTGCTGGGCTGGGCGGGGCGGGCGGGAGCCCCCAGCGTGTCTGGACCTGCAGCCGCCTTTCAGGGCCAAGCCCTTCCCTTGAGGTCGAGGACACAGATGACCTGGGGGCACTCAGGGCGGGGTCTCCTTGCCACCCAGGTCCGTGCCCGCATGTGGAGTGGAGGACGGGCCGTCCTCGCCGCTGAGTGCCAGTCCCGAGTGGTGGCTGGGGGAGTGGGGACACGGCGGCCGCCTACCCCCATCTGGGCCGGCTGGGGCCTCGGCCCTCCTGAGGCGGGGCTGGGACGGTGGGAGAGTGACGGGCCCAGCCTGCAGGGTGACACCGGGTCCCTGTGCCTGAGCGCCTGGGTCTCCTGGGCTGGGGCAGTGGAAGGTGCCTGTGGGAGTGTCTGTGTGAGAGAGAGCATGTGTGTGTGTGTGTGTGTGTGAGCGTGTGTGTGAGTGTGCATATGTGAGCGTGTCTCTGTGTGTGAGAGCATGAGAGTATGTGTGAGCGTGAATCTGTGAGTGTGTGAGTGTGCATGTGAGCATATATGTATGTATCTCAGTATGTGTCTCAGTGTGTGTGTGGGAGTATGTGTGAGCATGAATCTGTGAGTGTGTGAGCGTGTGTGTGTGTGTGTGTCTGTGAGTGAGTGTGTGAGTGCGGCTGGGCTGGGTGTGTGTCCCTGTGCGTCGGCCTCGGTGCCCTCTGTCTAGACTGCGTCCCCACGAGGGCCCGAGGGCGAGCGCTGAGCGGAGTGTCTGTGGGTTCCGTCTGTAGGAAACGCCGCCTGAGCCTGGCCCCATGGGTCCCCCTGGGCCCTGAGCGGGGCCCTGGCCCCTCGTGGTGCCCGCTCAGGGGTGGGCAAAGGGCCTC